ACCTGGGACCCCCCCCAAATGACCTGGGACCCCCCCACACCAAAAAATACCTGTGACCTGTTCTAGGGGTCTGTTGGTCTTTACTGGAGGATACTGGGGCTGTACTGGGAGGATACTGGGGCCATACTGGGGGTATACTGGAAGGGGGCCACTGGGGCCATATTGGAGATCTGTAACCCCCCTAAAATACCTGTGACCCTCTCAAAACACCCGTGACCCCCCTCAAAACAGCTGTAACCCCCTAAAATACCTGTAACGCCCCTAAAATAAAAACCAGTAAAACCCGGTAAAAACCAGTAAAATCTCCCAAAATGCGACTGTGAGGGCGTGGCCTGGCTGAAGGGGGCGTGGCCTCCGCCGCTGTGCGTTCAGGGGCGGGGCGTGGCCTCGTGAGGGAGGGGGCGTGGCCTCGTGAGGCGGCGCGGCCCGGTCGTTGCGCGGCGGCGGCAGCGGCGGGTCCGGCCCTGCCCCGGCTCGGGCCCTGGAGGAGCCTCCGAGATCCCGGCCCTGCCCCGGCGGGTGAGCGAGAACCGGGGGGAGGAGGAAAAGGAGGAGGAGGAGGAGGAGGAGGAAGCGGCGGGGCCGCGGCGGCGGCGCCTGCGCGGGGAGGGGCCTGGGGGGGAAGGGGCGGTGACTCTGAGGGGAGGAGGGGGCGAGGCCTGAGGGGAGGACAGGGCGGGGCCCGAGGCGAGAGGGCGTGGCATGGCGGGGCTCGCGCGCGGCGGGACCTGAAGAGGACGGGGCGGGGCTCGAGTGGGCTCGCGCGGGGCGTGGGCGTGGCCCGAGGGGACGAAGGGGGGACGGAGGACTTCTGGTCACGCCCCCCGTGTTGGCCACGCCCCCTATGCCCTGTCTCTGTGCGTGTCCCCCCACGTTCCGTGCTGGGTCTGGGCTCTCACCTGTCCCTGTGTCCCCGTATGCCAGGTCTGGAGTCCCACCTGCCCCCCCGTGTTTCAGGTTTGGAGTCTCACCTGCCCCCAATATTTCATGTCTGAGATCTCACCTGTCCGTGTCCCCCCCCAGGTGTGACCATGGCGGGCGCTGCCCCCACTGCGGGCGTCCCCGAGCATCCCTTCACCTGCCGGGAGTGCGGGAAGTCGTTCCGCTGGTCGTCCCGCCTGTCCCACCACCTGCGCAGCCACACTGGTGAACGGCCCTACAAGTGCCCCGAATGCCCCAAGGCCTTCAAGGGCTCCTCCGCCCTCCTCTACCACCTGCGGGGCCACACGGGTGAGCGGCCCTACACCTGTGCCACCTGTGGCAAGGCCTTCAAGCGCTCCTCGCTGCTCCAGACTCACCTGAGGGTGCACACGGGCATCCGGGCCTTCGAGTGCGCCCAGTGCGGCCTCACCTTCAAGTGGGCGTCGCACTACCAGTACCACCTGCGGGCGCACACGGGCGAGCGGCCCTACCGCTGCCCCGTCTGCCCCAAGGCCTTCAAGAACTCGTCGAGCCTGCGGCGGCACCGCCACACCCACACGGGGGAGCGGCCCCACACCTGTGGCACCTGCGGGAAGGGCTTCGCGCAGGCGGCCAACCTGCGGCAGCACCTGCGGGTGCACACGGGGGAGCGGCCCTACACCTGCGGCACCTGCGGCAAGAGCTTCACCCACTCCTCCAACCTGCACCTGCACCGCCGCACCCACTCGGCCGCACGGCCCTTCCGCTGCCCCGCCTGCCCCAAGGCCTTCGTGGTGGCCGCCTACCTGCAGCGCCACCTGCGCACCCACCGCTCGCCCGAGCCACGCCCCCCGGCCTGTCTGCTGCTGCGGGGGGGGCCGCCCCTCCCGCCTGCCGCCCCCCGCAAGGTGCTGCTGCTGCCCGGCCCCGCCAAGCCCGCCCAGGTGCCCGCCCGAGCTCACCTGGCGCAGGTGGGGAAGGGGCCACACACCTGGCAGAGCGTCCTGGTGGTGCCGCCTGGGGCGGGACAGGAGGGGCCGGGGACGAGTGTGATCTTGCTGAGGGGCGGGATGGGGCCCACAGGTGTGCAAGTACAGGTGGCTGAGGCGGCAGGGGTGGCGACAGGTGTGGCAGGGGTCGCAGGTGTGACGGGTGGGGCAGGCATGGCAGGTGTGCAGCTCCTCCAGGCCACCGAGGTGACAGGTGTGGCAGGGGTCACAGGTGCTCCAGGTGTATCAGGGGTCACAGGTGTGGCAGGTGGGACAGGTGTGGCAGGTGGGACAGGTGTTACAGGTGTGCAGCTCCAGGCCACCGAAGTGACAGGTGTCACAGGGATCACAGGTGTCCCGGGTGTGCAGCTCCAGGTGTTGCCGGAGGTCACCAACATCCAGGTGCGGGGGGGGGAGGGGACAGGCGTGACAGGGGTGACAGCTGTTCCAGGTGTGGCAGGTGTGACCAGGGTAACAGGTGTCACAAGTGTGACAGGGGTGCCAGGTGTGCAGCTCCAGGCCACTGAGGTGACAGGTGTGGCAGGGGTGCCAGGTGTCACAGGTGTGCCAGGTGTGCAGCTCCAGGTGTTGCCGGAGGTCACCAACGTCCAGGTGCAGGGCAGGGAGGTGACAGGTGTAACAGAGGGGGCAGGGGTGACGAGTGTCCTAGGTGTCCCAGGTGTGACAGGTGTGACAGGTGTCACGGGTGTCACAGGGGTGAGAAGTGTGACAGCTGTGACTGGTGTCACAGGTGTGACAGGTGTTGCAGGTGTCACAGGGGTGCAGCTCCAGGCCACCGAGGTGACAGGGGTGACAGGTATGACAGGAATGACAGGGGTGACAGGTATGACAGGGGTGCCAGGTATCCCGGGTGTGACAGGGGTGCCAGGTGTCACAGGTGTCACAGGTGTCACAGGTGTCAAAGGGCTGCAGCTCCAGGTGCTGCCAGCGCCCTCCGAGGTGACCAAAGTCCAGCTCCAGGTGTTGCCACCACCACCTGAGGTGACCAATGTCCAGCTCCAAGCGCTGCCACCACCCTCAGGTGTCACCAGAGTGCAGCTCCAGGTGCTGCCACCTCCACCTGAGGTCACCAAAGTCCAGCTCCAGGTGTTGCCACCACCACCTGAGGTGACCAATGTCCAGCTCCAAGCG